TTAGAAGAGACGATAGTTCATCAAACAGCATGACCGTTCAATCTAAACTAACTTGTACAACTAACAAATGCTTCTCATTTGATCAGACATAACTTGCAAAAAGGGAAACTCCCAAAGTTAGGGTTGAGGCAGGTTTTTTTTTTTGTCTTTTCAGGAAAATGAAGGCAACCAGCTAAGGAATCTGAAGACCACCTGACAAATGAGACTTATGAAGAAAAAGGATAAATCATCCAGAAAAAAATGTCCCAAGAAGAGTAAATTGACCTATTGCTATATCATATCTCCAACAGGATAAAATTTCATAAATTTTTCCAAATGTTTGTTTCTGCTGTTCTCTACAGACACATAATTCAAATGGTCTTTTTGTAACCCCAGTCCAATTAAAAATTAAAGCTGGCTTTGGAGTTGGAGTGTGGCTCTCTCCTTCTCTAAAACCAAGCATGGAAGGAAAATCCAAATCTCTGTCTTATGTCAAAGATCCACCTGCCTCTGCCTCCCAAGTGCTGGGATTAAAGGCGTGCGCCATCACTGCCCAGCTTTAAAGCTTTTCTTAAGGTATAAATATTATCTCAAAATTTATAAGATTAATATATATTTTAAACTTTTTGTCATGATTTTAACGGTCATATAGAGTGCTAACTAATTCTACAAAAAGGCTTCATCTATATTCCTGTATATGACTTCAGGTTTGAGTCTCTATCAGGAAACTAGGAATTAAGTTTTTGTACTTTGGATGTACATAGCAAATATTTATCCTTTAACCTCTTTGAGATCTCCTACATATGACATTTAAAATGTTTAAGTTTTCTGCAATGAACCATGGCCATGCTTAACAGCAACCTTTGAAGTCTCCAAAAGGATGATGTGGCCCCATAAAAATAATTCCATCAGGGCTATGATAACACCACAAAGCTGAAAAACACCATCTAAAAATCGGCTTTGGATTACAAATTGCTCATGACAATTTCATGGTGGCTAGCTGAGATGATCCAGCCTCACACACTACTTTAGCCAGGATTTGAGATAAGCCCTGCACTTTCCCATTTTGCAGAGACTGGACAACAAATGATACAGCTACCTCTCCCAGGACTTGAAAATTAACCAAAATTTTTCTTTTCAGGATCCCCTAAAGATGCTGTCACCCCTAAACAGCAGGAAGTAAATTTAAGAACAGGATGCCCACATTCCCAAGAGGTGGGGTGGGTGTTTTATGGTTGCTCAATGGGTTATGAATATTTGTCATTGTTTAAGGTGGTTGGTTACAAGTTGTTATTGATAATGGTTTAAAAAAAACTGAAGAAAGGAGATTAGATTCAGGGTTCTAAGAAAAAAAGGGGACATAGAAATGATAGGATAAAGGGTTGCTTATTGAATCTACTCTGAAAAGAAAAAAGGAGGATATAGATGGGATAAAAGGGTAGATTATTAAATATACTTTTAAAGAGCAACTATTTATTTTAAATATTTTTACATTGATATGGATCTTTGTATATTGATATAAAGTTGAAATTATTTTTGTTAGAACAAACTGTACATACATTTCTAATCTTGTTCAAGGTATTGTACCTATACATCTTATTTAATAATGTAATGCAAATTGCTAGTCCTTGAAGGTTATTATTACAAACTATTCAGGGTAATAAAGAAATGTAGGTTAGTAATTAGTCACCTATTACAATCAAACTTATAGTCACATTAGGTATGTTTTCAAGGTAAAAAAGAGATATATTTTAGATAGGTCATCTTCAAACACTTCAGAAATCTACAGAACATGGCATTTAAGCTGTTTTAATAACATATGTTCTTTTTTTGTGTGTGGGACAATGAGACATGTCTGCTACTGGTAGCACCAATCTATTTCAGAGAAGATTATGAGCATCAAAGAAACTCCATATGGAGTTTACTTTCTTTGTGGCAAAAATTAGCCACTGGGCAAGAAAATGCCCTTGCCTCAACTGCTGACAGTATGCTGTCCAAATTGGACAAGCAGGACAAAAAAGAAAGTGACTGCTGAACTTTGCCAAGACAAGGTAAGACAGCCCTTTAGATTACCCTGCTTCACAGAAAAGTCTGTCAGACATGGTAGGCCTGTAGGCCGAAGATGGATGCCCCAACGTTACAGAGGAACTTTGGCTGACTGTCCAAGAAGTCAGCTGTTTCTGTCATTTTTCACATTTTTTTTGGAAATCGCTTGTTTGCACTTCCTGCTTACTCAGATAATATTATTTCCTTCTCTGGTCTCTGATGGAGTTGAAGACTTTACAGCTATAGTTTTCCTTGTTACCAGATTCAGAAAAGAAATTCACTAAAGAGGTGTAAACTGTATAAGGTTGAGAGACATCAAAAGATAGTTTTGGTTGGTAATACAAATTAGAATAGAAAATGAATTAGGTACAACACTTTGGACTCACCAAGATAGGATAGATAATGGAGTATTTTCTCTGAATTTGTCAAATGCTAATGGACTAGACATTATTGATGTATTTATTGCCTGTATACATTGTACTTATTTTATGTAATTTTTCTTTTCTTTTTTTTTTTTTAAAGATTTATTTATTTATGTATACAGCATGTTTAACTGCAGGCCAGAAGAGGGCACCAGATCTCATTATAGATGGTTGTGAGCTACCATGTGGTTACTGGGAATTGAACTCAGGATCTCTGGAAGAGCAGTCAGTGCTCTTAACCTCTGAGCCATCTCTCCAGCCCTGTAATTTTTCTTATATTAGTTATAACTTTTTTGTTTTGTTTTTGTTTTGTTTTGTTTTAGACAAAAAGGGGGAAGTGTGGTGATATTTTTGTTTGTGCTCTAACAAATAAAGCTTGCCTGGAGATCAGAGTGCAGAGCTAGCCACTAGAGGCCAGGCAGTGGTGGCACACACCTTTAATCCTAGCACTTGGGATCTCATGCCTTTGATCCCAGTACTTGGGAGGCACAGGCCTTAAATCCCAGCACTTGGGAGGAGCACACAGGAAGTAATATGGCTGGTTGGGGAGAGGAAGTGATAAGTCTGAGGATTCAGTAGAAGTCTTTCTAGTGGCTGGCTCATTTACTTCTCTGATCTTTCAGCATTTATCTGATATCTGAATCCAGGTTTTTATTAAGACCAATTAGAATTCGTGCTACACTTAACAGCGTCTCTATGGCTTTCTATGTATCCTGGAGAACAATGGAAAGCACCCATACACCAGAAAACTTGAAACAGTATTAGCCAAATGACTGATACCCACTCTTTCCCTGAGAATTTCCACTCTAGCAGAAATGGAGAGGAAATCTTTCCTCAGGGCAAGCACAGAATGCTTCCCTAAGGAGGTGTGGTCCATAGTGGGACTTAAAGACTGTAGGAATATGTTAAGTTTAGATGTGAAGTGTCCCTACTGGCTCACAGTTTGAACACATGATACCCAATTGGGGGTGCTATTTTGCAGGCAATGGGATCTTTTAGAAGTGGGGGGTTAGGTGGAGGAAGTGGGCCACATGGGGGGCAGGTCTTGAGGTTTATAGTTTTGCTCCCAGGTTCTCAGAAATATTCATTATGCTTAAACCAAAATATCCCAGCTCCAGTTTGTCAGCACCACCTGACAAACATTTTAAAAACTAGGACTGCTTGAGTCCTAGTGGTAGAAAGTTTTGTTAAGTGAGCCGTGGGTACAGCTAGAGCTGGAAGTCATAATAAGGTTCCTCTTGTTAGGTAAAACAAGGTGGATAAATGAGTGTTTGCAGCTGAGATGAGAGAACATCTGGGGAGCTCTGAGAATGAAGACTTCTGGAAATGATGGTTGAAATTATGAAATTATGAAACCATGAGGTGGGCATGAAATCAGAACTCTGAGAGATGAAAGAAACTGGGTCCCTAATGGTGTCACTAAATTTAACCTCTCTCTGCTTTTTGTGTAGGACAATGTCATTTCTACTCTGTACCGAGTAAGTTTCTACTATTTATAGCCATGCAGAGTCTTACTGGGATGTCACTCAGCATTACTGGGTGAACTGTGCTGAAAGGGGCTGCCAGCCTGGGACTGACATGAGCAAGAGGCAGCCGTGGTCTGGCTGTATGTTAGGAAGACTCCCTGGAACCAGGCTGGGCCCCGGCGGAACAGAGACTAATGACAGGAAGGTAAGGTCTGTGGACAGAGAAAAGACCCAGAGACAGCCAGCGGTCAGTAAGACAAGGATGATGGGCTGTGGAGGGCCAGAGGAACTGGGTAGGGCTGAGGTGGAAGATTGGCACCTGGGGTCTGGTTCAGTCTCCGTCCGAAAATAAGAACCAGGGACTTAGGAGAACGGGAAGACGTTAAACTATTGTGCAAAACCAAGGAGTGAAGGTATCCAGGGGCAAAATGGACTCGGAGGCATTGTTGAAGTCCGGGAAGCTCATGGGAACTGTAGTTCTGGGCCCAGAAATATTAGCCAGGACACTGCAGCATTTCATGGTAAATTCTTTGTAAACCGAGGGTATTTGCCAGGGAACTGCAGAGGGTGATAGGAAATGGGGTTCTAAACGCAGAGCATTAGCTAGGGAACTGCAGTGTGTCCTGGGAAATGTAGTTTTAGGCCCAGAAGTGCGTTCAGAGCGGGGCAGAACTTCGTGTAAAGGGTTATTAATTAGCCCGACAACTGCAGAGGCTGGTGGAAAATGTAGTTCTGGGCCCAGAATACTGGCCAGGGACCTGCAGAGTCCTCTGATAAATGTAGTTCGTACACCAGAGTCTTGGCTAGGGATCTGCAATGCCTCCTGGGAAATGTAGTTTGATTCCAGAATATTAGCAAGGGAGCCTCCTGGGAAACGTAGTTATGTGCGCGGGGAAACTGCAACGTCCTCTGAGAGACATAGTTTGGGGTTTTCCACACTGGCCAGAGACTTTCAGAGTCCCAAGGGAAATGTAGTTCTGTACCCAGTCTCAGCCAGGGAAGGGCAGGGGCTCCTGGGAAATGTAGTTCGAGGCTCGAGGGCCGACTGTACCGGAAAGCAGGTTCGCCTGCTCCCAGGCCTGCTCACCTGCCTCCCTGTGCAAGCCGGGGGCGCCCAGGTTAGGGGAGCAGAGCGGCTCCACTTCTGGCTGCATCCTGGAGAGGCGGGTCGGAGGAGGTCCAGGAAGAAGGGGTGAGGTGCTCACACTGGGCCACACACCCCAGATCTTTTCCTCGGCTTCTGCTTCTTGCTCTTTGAAACCACGTGGGATAAACCCGGAACTGGAAGGCTGAGACCACAAGGACACGCGCGTTCCCCTAACCTCGGGGACTCGGTGTGCGCCCCAGTTCCTGCGTCCCTTCTTCTCTGCTTCCTTCCCCGTCTCTCCCTGTCTCCTGTCCTCTCTTTCTCCACCCCTCCTGCCCCATCCTTGTCCTCGGTTCTCCCCCCACTTCTCTACCTGCCTCCCTCCCAACCCCAGGCCCCAGTTGTCCTCTGGACTTTTCCCAAAAGTCTCACCCCTATTCCCCGCCTCACTGGTCTCTCCCTCCATCTCCCCACCCTTCTCCATCAGCCTCCCCAGCACCTCCCCAGCCCCCCGAATTGCCCCCTCTTCATTCTTTGGAGTCTCTCCCCAACCCTGTCACCCTCTCTGAGCCCCCCTGCTTCCCCTTCCCCTTCTCCCAGGGCGATTCCTCAGTCTCCCTTCCATAGCTGCTTCTGCCCCCATCCCCGCTGCCCCACCCCGCCCCTCTCTCATCCCTGCTCTGTGTCCACTTGCCCTCTGCTCATCCCCGACTAGATACCTGGAGACAAACAGAAACTGGGTTCTCTGGGGTGGGGGAGGGGACGATAGGCTGGGCCTGGTTACCATGGTGCCGGGAGGCGGGTGGGGAGCAGGGCTGGGGCGATTATTCCTGAATGTGGGGAAAGTGGAACTGAGGCCAGGACTGGAGGCTTTATGCAGGCAGGTGCCTGGTGAGGCCATCCTTTGTGAGTATGTAAGTTTCGTCTATGTGCCCCCAGGCTCCCTCTTTGTGTCTTGTATCTCCCTCTTAATTATCCCCGCCCCCGCTTTGAGCCGGTCTGCCTCTGTCTGGCCCTTGCCTTCCAGCTGAAGAAATGATAGTGATGTGTCACCACACCCGCCCGGGACTGGAATCCTTACTCTCCTTCTCCGGCTGTCACTCCAGACTGCTTCCTGAGTTTACAGATCCATCCCAGATTCTGCAACCAAAGCTAAGGAGTCTCGTTCTCTTTCTCTAAGGGTGGTGGTGGCCAGTGTGTCACCCTGCAGATACAGAACTTGCTTGAGAGCAAAGACAAATGGTGGGGAAGGCAGCCAGCTTTCCAGTGATTGGCATGGCTGGGTCCAGCTGTGCCTGAAGCTCAAAATTCTGTTAGGAGTCGAGAAACTTAAACTTCGATCAGTTTAACTGTTTTTTTTTGGGGGGGGGGATTGTTTTTTTTTCAAGACAGGGCTCACCATGTAGCCCTGGAACTTACTATGTAGACCAGGCTGGCCTTGAACTCACAGTTGTTGGCCTGCTTCTGCCTGCTGAGTGCTGGGATTAAAGTCGTGCCCCACTATGACTGGCTGTTATTGGCAATTTTAAAAGTCCATACTTGAATGGTCTCAGTCAGTCTTCTGTGGCCATTGTAGTGGGTAGATGTTTCAGCTTTGACCTGCAAGTACTACCCTTAGTGAGGCTTCTAGTAACTGCCATGCCTACCTATGAGGGTGGTGGGATGTTCTGTATGTTACATGTGTTGTTCTGATTGGGTAATAAATAAAACACTGATTGGCCAGTAGCCAGGCAGGAAGTATAGGCGGGACAAAGAGAAGAGAATTGGGGGAAGTGGAAGGCTGAGGCGGAGAGACCTACCAGCCTCCCCTGTGACAAGCAGCATGTGAAGATGCCGGTAAGCCACGAGGCAAGTGGCAAAGTACAGATTAATAGAAATGGGTTAATTTAAGATATAAGAACATTTAGCAAGAAGCCTGAGCCATTAGGCCAAACAGTTTAAAAAATATAAGCGTCTGTGTGTTTATTTTATAAGTGGGCTGTCAGACTGCCGGGGCTTGGCGGGACCTGGAGAGAAAACTCTCCAGCTACACTCAAAGCCTGCCCCACGAGACACACTTCCTTCAGCAAGGCCACACCTAAACTGCCCAAACAAACGCCACAACTGGGCATCAAGTTAATTAAATGCCTTGGGGAAACATCTCATTCAAACCTGATGTTCTTTTGGATCATTTCTCTCATCTCTTGCTAAGTGACAGTGGCTCACTGAAAGTCCTCTGTCCTGGTTAGCTTTAACTGTCAACTCCACACAGCTTAGAGTCGTGTGAGAGAAGCCTCATCTGAGGGATTTCCTAGCCCAGATTGGCCTGTGGGCTTTCTGGATTTTTAGTGGCTGTTGCAGGACCCAGCCCACTGTGGGTGGCACCATTCCTTAGGCGGTGGGCCTGGAATTTATAAGGAAGATAGCCAAGCAGAGGCATGGATGGCAGGCATGCTAGGAAGCAATTTTCCAACATGGTCCCCGCCTTCAGGACTTGCCTTGGCTTCCCTCTGTGATGAACCGTGCCCTGCAAGTGTGAGTGAAAAAAGCCCTTTCCTCCCCTAAGTTCCTTTTGGTCAGAGCATTTTATCACAGCAACAAAAAAGTAGCTAGACCTTTTGTAAAACAGGAGACAGGCCTTGGCGGGTGGAGCCAGGGAGCCTCACGGTGGGTGAGGGAGACACACCATGCAGACATGGCATTCATGTAGAAAGTTTTATTAGTGGGGGAAGGGAAGAAAACAGGCAAGGTCTAAGGAGAGGAGAGGAAGAAGAGAAAGAAAAGGAAGGGAGGAGAGGCGTGCTACCTCCTGGCAATAGAGAGGAAGGAAGAGAGAAGAGGAGGGCTTTCTCTTAAAGAGGACTTTAAGATGACGTTGTCAGGGCACTGGGTGGGCCAGGGGTGGGTCTGAACGCTAACAAGAACAACTATCAATCCTCCAAATTCTGTTCTCACTTCTCTCTCTCTCAAAGGTAAGTAAGTAAAATCAGATACACACATGCATACATGTGTTTTATTTATTCTTTGGCAATTTCATATATGTATAGAATGTATTCTGATAAAGCTCGGGCTCTCTGCACCTCCTCAGCCCCCAGTCTGCTGTCTCTTCTTACTTTGGAACCTCTCTCCAACATTGTCACCCTCTCTTATTTCCCTCCCAATCCTGGAAGTCTTTCCCCCAACACCTCCCTCTCCTACTTTCGTGGTTTTTTTTTTAATAACCCCGTATTTAATTAGAATTGCTTGTATGAACATGGGTGTGGTTATTTACCGGAGCACAACAATCTGCCAGTAGCTACACTACTGAAGAAAAATGGCTTCCCCTCAACCAATAACCATTGACCAACAGCCCCTCAGCGAGGGGAGAGGTCCCCTGAGCCTCTCCCACTTCCTTGCCCCCCACATTCATCTCTTTCTGAATTGGAATCACCAGACTTCCACCAGCCTTCTGCGTCTTCGTCACGCTCTGTGTTCCTACCTTTCTGTGTGTCCTGTACACCTCTGTCTAACGCATCTCTCCCTGTATCTCTCTCCTCCTCCCTCTCTTCCTCTCTATTGCTGTGTCTCCAATTCTTCATTTCTCTGTCTCTGTTCCCTGGCTGGTGCCTCTGCCAAGCTGCCAACCACTCCTCTCTGCCACTCTGCCACCCCTGTTAGGCCATCAGCAGCCCTTGGCCACCAGCCCAGGGCCCACGTTCCCGCACCAGCATTTTCCTCTAGCTCTACAATGATGTCAGTACTGCAGCGACGCTGGCCACAGCCCTGTTTGGAAACTTTCCTTTCCCACTTGCCTCTAGACAAACCCTGGCAGCTTGGCTGACCTCTCTCTCGGGGTTAGCTCTTGCTACCGAGCACCGGGAGGGAACCAGTGTTCATGCAGACATGGGCATTTATCCCTGGACAGGGCTGTGTGCCAATCTGTATGGCTTCTCTTTGAATCCCAGGGCCTAGCCTGGCCCACCTCAAGCACTGTTTTTTAGGTGGCGTTGGGTGGCACCATGAGGGATTCCCAGCAGGTAGGTAGGAATGGGTGGGTGGAGGGAATACCTCGGTGGGGGATGGGGGAGGAAAGCAAAGGGATTTGTGCACACTTGTTCATTTGTTCACCCACTACCCTATCATTTATTCTTCAAATGTCCAACCATAAACACCATCATCCATCCATCACTCTAGTGTTCAACCTTTCAGTCATCCATCAGACTTTCCCTCCATCCAAATATCATCCCTCTCTCCACTCCTCCATCTGTACTAGCTACTTTTCTATTGTTGTGATAAAACACCATGACCAAAGGCAACTTAGAGAAAAATTTATTTGAGCTTTTGGTTCTGGAGGGGGAGTCCATAACGGCTGAGGAGACATGACAGAAGACAGCCAGAGCAGGAAGCTGAGAGATCACATCTTCAACCACAAAGAGGAAGCAGAAAGAGGGAACTGGAAGTGGGACGAGACCTTGAACACTCAAAGCCCAGCGCGAGTGAGTAATCACTTCCTACAGCAAGACTCGGCCTCCAAAAGATCCTGCAACCTCCCTAAGCAGACCACCAACTAGGACCAAGTGTTCAGATACATGACACTAATGAGGACAATTCTCATTCAAACCATCGCACCAGTCACCATCCATCCATTCGCCCACTCATTCCTTCTTTATTTACCTTCATTCATTCATTTATTTATTCAATTTGGTGAGTTGTCTGCGATGTGTCCGGCACTGTTCAAGACAGTGAGGACATCAGAGAGTGAAAGAGCAGCCTGATGGCATCCTCACTGACTGGGCCCAGCCTCCTCGTGCCCAGGCCTCACTCAGGCTCTCCCTCCCCCAAGCATCCCCTCTGTCTTAGGTACTTAGTTCTGCTGTGATGGGGAAGCACCATCATGGTGGGCATGGCGCTGGGGGAGTGGCTGCGGACTCACATCTTATCCACAAGTTGCAGGCAGAGAGAAGGAGACTGAGCCTGCTGTGGGCTTCTGAAAGCTTACAGCCCTCCCTCAGTGGCACACTGCATCCAGTGAGGCCACACCTACTCCAGCAAGGCACTTCCCATCCTTCTCAAACAGTTTCTCTGACTGGGAACCAAGCATTCAAACATATGAGCTGTGGAGACCGTTCTCATTCAAGCCAGCACACCCTCCTCCCTTCACCTGTTCCTGCTTAGACCCCCCACTCCTCTGAGGTCAGCTCGTGTGTCCAGAGCCTTCCTTGGTGTCTTTCTCAGCACTCGACACCCTGGACTTCTCTTCACAGTCCCAAGGAGGCTCTCCGCTGTCTCCTCAGCCGGTGCTCTCAATGTTAGCTTTTTTAAATTTTTAAAAAATAGTTCACCCATTGTATCTTTTGTGCGTGTGGACACGTGCATGCCATGGCATACATGTGTAGACCAGAGGAAAACTTGGGGATGTCAGATCAAACTCAGAACATCAGGCTTGGTGGCCAGCTCCGTCACCCACTAAGCCGGCTTGTCTTCCTGGAAAGAACTGATGAACTGTATTACTTACTTTTCCACTAAGTCGAGTAGGATGAAGGTGGCCAGCTCACTCTCTATTTCCTGGTTCCCATTCCTCACACCCAGTGGCAATAACACCCAAGGTCCTCTAATATCCCAGAAGCATATAAAATCAAGGCTCCAGATTGAGACCCCAAATAACTTTCAGATTAACCCAGCCACTTCCCGTCTGTGAGGGTGGGTCTGGTACTTGCCTTCTAGGACCGTCCATTTTCTCACTTGTCAAATGCAGCTAAGGATTAAACCAACAAGTATAACCACTAGTTTTGACAACACTAAATACTAACCGTGAAAGCATCTCAGCTCTACCACTGAGCCCTAGTCCCTCACCAGGGAGTTCTAGGCAGGAGCACTACCACTGAGCACACCCTCAGCCCCTTACCTGAGGGTTACTAGACAGGTACTCTACTACTGAGCTACATCCCCTGCCCTCACTGGGTAACTAGGCAGGCAGGACTCAGGATAATTTAATTTAATCTTCAAAATGATGTAGTATCTGATTTTGTAATCATCAGGGCTGGAATAAAACTGTTAGTAAAGTGCTTCCTGTGCAAATGTGTTACATTTGAGCCCCAGAACCTTCATTAACAAGTCCAGCTGTGGTTGCGCCCACCTTTAATCTCAGCTCTGGGTGGTAGAAGCAGGTGGATCCGTGGGACTCACAGGCCGGCCAGCCTAGCCTACTTGGTGAGTCCCTGTCCCAAAAAACAAGAGAGGGGCTGGAGAGGTGGCTTAGCCATTAAAGGTTAAGCTCACAACCAAGAATATAAAAAGATAGATGGCACCCTGACGTCTGCACATACATGTGCATGCATTCACACACACATACTTGCACACACGTGAACCAATTATCATCATCTTTGGGGCGGGGGTGTAGGAACACAGGCTAGTAATTCTAGCACTCAGCTGAAGCAACAGGATTGCCAGTTCTCATCTGGTCTGGGCTCCATAGTAAAACCTGGTATCCAAAAAGTGTTTTTAATTTAAAAATCTTCCTCATTTATAAAGAGGGAAACTAAGGCAGTTAGAAATAAACCCACCCAGGGTTGTGTCCTGTGCTGAGCTGGCGTTTGAACACAAATGCGTTTTCCCGAGATGCACAGACGGCTAGTTCTTGCTGCAGCTGCCTCGGAAGACTCACAGTGTTTCTTTGGAAATGTGTCATGCGAAGCTAGCAAGCCCATCTGTGTGCACATTTCAGAGTGTGTATGTCACCGCCTGTGTCTCCCCACAGGATGGATTTCTCCTGAACCCTGGTCAGGCTGAGCTGCATGGCTGGGATGGGTTGCTTGTGAGACTAGCCACTAAGGCCAGTCACACCTTTGGTGGGCAGACACCCATGCATGCCTGCTCAGACTGTAAGAGGATGCTAGAAACATAAGCATGGGACCCTGGATGGAGCCAGGAATGTTTTTGGAGGCTTCTGATGACTGCTGAATGCATGCATAGCTTACAACGGAGGCGGACAATCTAGTTAAAAGGGTCACATTCAACCCAAGGTCTCAGACATACTAAGCAAACACTCTTCCACTGGCCTATAGTCCAAGCTCCTCACTGGGAGATTCTACTAAACAAGGGCTCTACTCTTGAGCAACGCCCCCAGCCGCTCAAAAGGACAGGATTCTAGGTAGGGGCTCTACTTCTGAGCAACGTCCCCAGGTCCTCACTGGAGGATTCTAGGCAGTTGCTGTACTGCTGAGCTACAACCCCAGCCCTCTTTTTATTTTGAGACAGGGTCTCACTAATCTACAGAGACTGGCCTTGAACTCATTCGTAGCCCAGGCTGGCCTAAAACTTGCTCTCCTCCCTCACCATCCAGTGACTGGGATGAGAGACCTCTGCCCTCAGGCCTGGCAGCAGTCGGTCTTTCCATTGGAGGTTGTGTTTATTTTGTGTAACTGGTTGGGGGGGGGGGGAAGGAGGACAATAGCAATGGGTGAGACAGAGACCTCCAAGACCCCGGATCTGAGGGATTGAATCTCCGTTGGCCTCAGTTGTTCTGTGAAATGGGAATAACATGATTGCACTCATCCTATGCCAAAGTGAGGATTCCACGAGAAGATGTCTTCAAAGCTCTTAACTCATTACATTGGTAATGGTGAGCAGCGCTTATCATTAGCTGCTGTTAACAATGCAAAACCCGATGCTTCCTGCCCATAAGTAGTTGTTAGCACCTACCTGGTGCCAGGGCTTGATGCACATTTACTGGTTTCTCAGAGGAGGTAATTCCATTGTATTTTGCTGAACATCAGGATTTGGGATGCTTCAAGTCTCAAGGGAACTAGGGCAGGATTCAAATCTAGTGCCTATGGCTCTACTTCAGACCTGAGACCCTCCTGTGGCCAGCTTTTCCTTCTTGCCTGCTCAGCTGCAAACCCTGATGCCCTCTGGAGGGCAGAGTATTTGTGGCCTGGGACTTGTGAGTCCTAGACTCTGGGTCCCTCAGGTGGCCTCGAATTGGGTGGAACCCTGCAGCCAGAGTCCAGGGAGGTGCACACCGCGGGCATAGCGATTTTGGCTTTTGGGTTGGCGGGGAGGTGGGGAGCGGCGAGGGGAGGAGCCGAGGAGCTGCGACAGGGGCGGGGAGGAGCCAGGCGGCACCGCGGCGGGCGGGCGCGCGCGCTGGGCTGCAGCAACCGCGGCCTCCGGTGAGTCCGCCCCTCCCCCTCCCCCGCCCCCGCCCTAGCCTCATCCCAAGGGGGCGGCCCCGAAGAGGTCGGTGCAAAAAGGGGCACATCTGGAACTGGGGAGTTGGAGTCTGCAAGGGCCAGCTGGACGCCCCGGGGGAGGGGCACGTGGCCCTGGAAAAAAGGTGATCCTGATCCCAAACACCTGGGTGCACTCCACCCCTCGCCCACCCATCTCCCCATGGCCTTGGGATCAGTGACCCATCCCATGGCCCCTAAGGATTAGAGCCACGTGACCCCTCGAGGTCCTGGACCCCGTTCACCTCTCCTGCAGCGTCTCGGGACTCTGACATTTTAACCCTTCCAACACCCTCCTCTCAAAAAAAAAAAAAAAAATCTTCTGCAGCCCAGAGATACAATTAAAGACTTCAACTCCCAGCAGCCCATGCAGCTCCGGTGCGATGAAGCCGCAGTAGCACTAGCAGCAAGACCTAATGGGAGTTGTAGTCCCTAGGCGTTTAACACGCTACTGGGGGCCAGGAGGTGGGAGGGGGCGGCTGGACCTCTCTGGGGTCACCTGGGGTCGCGCAGCTACTTCAAGTAGGGCAAGATGCAAAGCTTGGGCTGATTTTTTCTCTTCCTGGCTTGGGGTCCCCAGATTAGACACCCTTCTTTCCACCTGGCAAGCGTGAGGACCGGTCCGCAGCGGCTAGACCTCGTCCACCCCTGCAACCCCCATGGGCTACCGCCCTCCGCCACCTCGGCTGCCACCCCAGGGACAAGGCAGGGTTAGGCACAGGTGAGTCTGACCCTGGCCGAATGGGAGTCTTCCTCAGCAGCCCCCCTTCACCTGACTCTGTCTGGCTCTTGGTCTTTCCTTCCGGGCCCCCTTTTCCCATGTCTGATGTCTAGCCCCAAACCTTGTGTCCTCTCTCCTCTCCCACCTCCATCTCTCGATCCTGTTCTCTTCTTTCTGACCATGTGTCTGTCTGTCTATGCGCCCAACTCTCTTCTCCTCGCCTTGTGTCTGAGGTCTCCAGCCATTGTCTGGCTGTCGGACTAGGGATCCAGCATCTTCTCTCTCCTGAGCTAACCTGTCTCTCTTTGGAAGGTATTTCTGCCCACACTCCTGCTCTCTCTCTCCTCCTCTCTCTCTCTCTCTCCTCTCTCTCTCTCTCTCTCTCTCTCTCTCTCTCTCTCTCTCTCTTCTCTCTCTGCACCATGTCTTGGATATAATGAAGTACATGCCATTCCCCGACCTGAACGTGCTCCACGTTCTGTGTGCATCATTCCCTGGCTACTGGACTTCACTTAGCCCTCTCTCTGATCTCTCTCTTATATCCGTCTCTCTTATCTCCCCTTCCCTCAACTTGAGGTTTCTGCCCCCCCCCCCCCCCGTTTCTGTCGCTCTTTCTCTTTCCTCCAACCCTCCAGCAGCTTCCCACCCTGAGCCCCCCACCAAAGCGGTTCCACCGGCCCCCAATGCTTTGACCTGCCACAGCCAAGCTGTCCACTATGGATGGCTGCCTCCACCTTCCACTTTGGGTCAGAGTGCCTGCCCCTGACTTCCTTCCTTGTGGTCCCCCGGGGGCATGCTCCTTTAGTCTGACAGTACCCACCTTTTGCTGTGGCTCTGTTGATCTGTTTGCTCCTTGATGCTTCTCATTGGATGATGATCCCAAGAAGTGTCCTTAGCACCTACCTGTGTGTCGTTTCATCCTCTAATCCTGGCCCTGAGCCTGCCACCATCTGACCCTCTGCCCCTCTACCAGCCCTTCTCCCCATTAGCTTTCTTTCCTTATCCCTGCGAGCTGTTCCTGCCCCCATCTGCACCTCTCCCACCCCACTCTTAAGTGTAGGACCACGTGGCCATTATGTCTGGGGACTATGAAGATGACCTCTGTCGGCGGGCCCTCATCCTGGTCTCAGACCTCTGTGCCCGGATCCGAGATGCTGATACCAACGACAGGTGCCAAGAATTCAACGAACTGCGAATCAGAGGCTATCCCCCGGGGTCCGGATGCAGGTCAGAACCCCAGCTGTCCCAACCGGCCACTGCCTTCTACCCAGCTCCACAGCAGCAAAGACTCTGGGGAGGTCAGAGCAGGGGCTGCTCAACTTTCCATGGCCTGGTGGATAGCCCCACCGAGAGTCTTGCCTGCTGCTGCTGCTTTGTCTAAACCACTGAACTGGAAGAAATAGCTGTGTGTTTGGTCCCATCTAACTCCTGACCTTGGAGTTGGAGACTTCCTCCTTCCTAATTATGGCCACCAAATATCTCCTTCAGAAATCATGAATCTTTTTATTTCCCTCTTTTTTTTTTTAGGTGAGGAGAGGGTTGAGGTGATATCAGATAGGGCCTTATGGAGTCCAGGTTGGTCTTAAACTTGAAACAATCCTCCTGCCTCAGTCTCCCAGGTGCTGGGATTCCAGATGTGAACCCACTATACCCAGCTCTGAGAGAATTAATTATGCCCAAAAGCTAACAGACTAAACCAGCCAAAAGCAGGGGGGCTGGTGAGGGGGGCGGGGGAGGGGTGCAGAGTTCAGGAGACATCAGGAATGACTGTTCAGTGTTCCCTCCCTTTGAGGTCACAGGTCCACCTTTAATTCTCCCATTGTATGTGACACATTACCCACCAGAGAAGCTCCCCAAAACCTTAGTACTTAGGGGTTTTGTTTGAGTTTGGTCATGTGATATATTCATTAATTTTTGCGTCGCTGTGGCCAAACTCCTGGTGGAAACAAAGAAGGAAAGATTTGCTTGGCTCATGGGTTTGGAGGTGTAACTCCACCGAGTGGAGAAGGGAGTGGGGAACAGCAGCACAGGCATCATGGCTGACAGGAAGCAGAGGATCCTGGGGATGCTGGTGCTAGTTTCTTCTTTTATTGCATTTGGACCTCTAGCCCACAAG